TGATATGTTGTTCCATGTGGGCTTTGTTGCTTCTGAGCTAGATGGCCACTTATTTACCTTCAAGCTTTTAAGACCCCAGATGCTATATATTTTGATAGCCGGGCACCATCAGCTTTCTTTCTTCACCACATTTGTCTTCAGCGGTTGTGTCGGGAAGGTGAGCATCATAGATCTCTGGATATTTCTGATCAGTGAAAGCATGCAACGTGAGGCTGCTCACTCCCTACATCTGTTAGGCTTGTCCATGTTGCACGTGTATCAGAACTTCATTCCTCTTACAGGCAAATAGCATCCAATTGTATAGATACACCATGTTCTGTTTACTCATTCACCAATGTATGGACACCGTGGTTTTATACTTCTTGACTACGCTGCTATCAACATCAATGTAAAAATTTTTGTGGACAAAAGGTTGTCTGTTTTTAAGGGAAGAGTTTTCTACTTTTATTTTGCTGAGTGCAGCCCCAGTAAAACACGGGGTCTACATGTACCATGTAGTGATACCGATGACCTTCCTCCAGCGGTACAACTGTGTGCACCCTCTCTCATGAACAAAATCATTGCCCACAAGGTCTTCAGCTATCTTTCAAGCATTTATTGTACATTTGATCCCATACAGTCTGGTCTTAAAACTGAATAATGCTTCAGGCGGGCAGGTTGACTTTATGAAGATTTCAGGGGACATTTATAGGTTCAGGAGAGGAAAATTTTAATAGCATTCCAGGTAAATGGAGTATATTTCTTTAACACAATAACTAAATTGACATTCGATGGATTTTTACTAACACTTGGAAGATGTTGGTTTACTAATACAGAACACACTACTTCTGAGTGTTGGCATATGACATTATTCAAAAAGTTCACGTGCTAATGTCACCATATATCTCGACTGAAGAGAAGCTGGTGGCAGGCAAGTGGCCTCCCTAATCCTGATTTGGCCTAGTGACTGACATTTTGTCACCGCCATGAACACTGTCAACTGTCTGAAGTGACAGGCACAAATGATTTGAGAAAATGCCTGGCGAAGGACTAGGTTTCAAGGCCACCACCCGTCTGTGAGCCAGACTTCCAGTGGAAAATGGCCTGTGGAACAGGTGGGAGGCCAGCTCACAGCCCCGTCCCGCACACTGGGTCTGCAATACCACACACGAAGATCCCTCCCACTTCGTCCACAGGCTACTAAAATGATGTGTCCCCCAGGCTCACGGCTCAATACATGAATGGTTTTTACCTCTGGGACTACAGTCTTAAGATTCTAAGTAGCCATTTGATTTTTTTGATAGCCCAATGGGTTTGTAATTTTAAGAATGCGTACGTTTGCATAAATTTATTTAGCGTTCCTTATTTCTCTTGTTGTTGACCTGTGGCTTCATTCTATTATGGTCCGATTAGATGTTTTGTACGGTTTCAATCTTTTAAACTGACTGAAATGTACCATGGGTCTGAAAGCAGCCCATACCAAACACACGTGCTGTTGAGTGATGTGCTCTCAGTGGCTAAGATTATGCAGGTCTTCTGTTTCTTTATTCGCTTTTCAAAATGTTCCACCACCATCAAAAAGTGGTGCATATGCTGTCCTTCTCTGTCTCGTGATAAATTTTGACTTAAAACTTACTGTGCACCAAGGTCTTTACACTTCCGGTGTCCCCGGAAGTGGAGCTGCCGGGGCATGGCAGCTGCCCCATTTTATCTTCCCACTAACACATGCAAGGGTTGCACTTTCCCCACATCCTCGCCAACACTGCTCACAGCCTGTCTTTCGATTAGAGCAGCGGTTCTCCACCTTCCTAATGCCGTGACCCTTTCACACAGTTCCTCATGTGGTGATGACCCCCAACCATAACATTATATTTGTTGCTACTTCATCACCATTTTGCTACTGTAAGGAACTGCGTGACCCCTGTGAAAGGGTCATTCGACCCCCAGGTTGAGAACTGCTACATTAGAACCATCCAGTTGGGTGGGAAGTGGTATCTCTGTATGCCTTTAATTTGCATTTCCCTCACAGCTAATGATGGAGAGGGTTTCTCCATGTACTTATTGGCCATTTGCATGCCTTTAGAGAAAAATTTAGTTAAAGCCTTGGCCCATTTTAAACACTGTGCTACTTTCCCCCTTTACCCATTTTTCTCCTGTTGCCCATGGCTTTGGCGTCGTATTGAAGAACCTACTACCTGACCCAAGGCCGCGAAGACTGACATCGATGCCATCTTCCAGGAGTCTTCCCATTCTAGGGCTCACATTCACATTTCCGAGACTCACCTGTGTGTGTGGGCTAAGGAACAAGCCCTACCTCATTCTTTTTTTAAATTTTTTAGTGGGGGCTCATACAATTCTTATTACAATCCATACATACATCCATTGTGTCAAGCACATATGTACATTTGTTGCCCTCATCATTCTCAAAATGTTTGCCTTCTACTTTAGCCCTTAATATCAGTTGCTCATTTTCCCCCTCCCTCCCCATTTCCCCCTCCCTCATGAACCCTTCATAATTCATAAATTATTATAGTTTTGTCGTAAGTTACACTGTCTGACGTCTCCCTCCGCCCTCTTCTCTGCTGTCCATCCCCGACCTCATTCTTTTTCATGTAGACATTCCATGGGCCCAGCACCATCTGTTGAAGGGACATCAGGGTTTGTGGCCCTGCTTGTGGGATCTGAGGCAAAGATGGCCACCTCCTACATGCTGCCTCACTTCAGACCCAGCCTGGGAGAGCCCGGGCAGTCAAGCCCTGCCCCCTGCCTCTGCTGCCCTCTCTCTGAATCTGCAGCTGCTCCCTGGGTTAACGCCAGCAGCCTGTGGGAATGAAGCTGAGCTCCTAGTTTCACTGGTTCAAGCCCTCCCTGCCTTTCTGTACCCACACATGAAGGCAGCTGCATGGCCCTCAGCGACTGTCGGCACAGAGGAAATGAGTCACACAGAGAGCAGGCCAGCCTAGCAATTTTGTGGAGTGCCACCCTAACACTGCTATTTCCAACTCCTCAGTCATTCTCCGATATGACACACTGGGGGGTGGAGCCAGACTGGGCGGCCCTGAAAGGTTTGCTTTGGGCAGTTTAATCCATTTAGGTTTTACCAGACACCCTGAGCCATGAGTGAGACACAGGGGAGCTGCCTGAGGAAAACGGGCAGGAAAAGCGGCTCCCTAGCAGCCCCAGGGTCTGGCACACACAGCTGCAAATCATGTAGGACCCTCCTCGCCCCTCAGGAGAGACCGCTATCCTGAAAGACTCTTGCCCTCCTCCCGGAAGCGCTCCCTACCCTTCCCCAGCCCACACTCGCCCTACCTCCAGCAGGGTTAGGGGCCTCAACTGGGCTCCTACGCCACTCTGCGTTCGTCCCATCCTAACGTCTCCCTGGCCGTCCGGAATTGTCATTTTTCTTGGTCTCTTCAGCATAAGTGCCTGGCACAGAGTTACAATCAGTGCAGAACACACCTCACTGTTCACAGGTCCCTAACGTAAAGCAGCAAGGGCAGGGGTGAGGGAACTGGCAGAAGGAGCCAAGGGAAGTTACAAGGTTCTGCATGTTCACTGGTGAGGGAGGCTGTCTCCGCTCTGCAGAAGGAGTTGTCCCTGGGAGGTGTCAGACAGCCGTGGACTGCAGCACCAGATGCCAAAAAATGATCGTCTAGGGCAGCGGTTCTCAACCTGCCTCATGCCACAACCCTTTCAGACAGTTCCTCATGTGGTGGTGACCCCCAACTATAACATTATTTTTGTTGCTACTCCATCACTGCCATTTTGCTACTGTTATGAATCGTCATATAAATATCTGATATGCAGGATGTATTTTCATTGTTACAAATTGAACATAACTAAGCAAATTAAAGCATACTGATTAATCATAAAACAATATGCAATTAAATACTGTGAAATATTTATGTGTTTTCCAATGGTCTTAGGCGACCCCTGTGAAAAGTTCAGTCCATCCCCCAAAGGGGTCGCGACCCACAGGTTGAGAACCGCTGCTCTAGGGCCAATCTTTTGTCCTCTAAGTGTAGAGAAAACCAGTGGGCACTGGTGCCCTGGAGTGCTGGTGTGCCCACACCAGGGCCCCGTGGCATGAGAGGAAGGGAAGACGAGAGAGAAAGCTAGCTGAATGCCCTAGCTCCTTTGTCTCCCCCCTCCCTACCTTAGGCCCACCTCGCTCAGGGCCCCCTTGCCAGCTCCTTCCCCTTTGACAGTGGGGAAAACCACCAGCTCTACAACTAACCAAGGATCAGAAGCAGAGCAGCACCTGCCACAAGGGGTTCTCAACAGCAATGCCACCTCAAGCCACTAAAGGTATCATGACATGAACATCCACAACCCAACCCAGGAAAATCAGCCAGAGGAGAGACAGCGGGTCGCTAGATGGCTTTCAGTTAGGCAAAGGGACTGCCAGTACCCTCAGATGTCCCCTACATGGGTACAGCATGGAGCTGGGTGTGGGAAACTGAGAACTAGAAAGAGTGGATAATTGTCTCCGCTCATGTGTTAAGGAGTCTGGAAGGCCCAGCCGAGACCCTCATGGAGGGAGGCCTGCACGTCTGTGGGTGCAACTAAAGTTGTTCCCCACAATGTCCTCCATCCTCCCCGCCACCCCCTGTAATAATGCCAATGTTAAGGTGCTGCGTGCAAGCACGATTGCTACTAGATGCTTGAAGGTGAACTGCTTGGAGGCTATTTGCCTGAAGGTTGTCTGCCATCCAGAGCGATCAGACCTTATTGCCTGTCCCACCCTAAGTACAGCCCACTCCCTTCTGATAAGGATCACAGAAGCAAGGTCTGGAACCCGCCCATCTTGTTAATTAAGTACCTACCCGCCAGGTGCAAGCCCCTGGCACGTCCCCTTCCTGTTACATTATGCCTCTAACACGTCCCTTCCTGTTACGTATGTGTACGATGTGGCTTGCATGCCTGACTTGAGATTATATAAACCTGTGAGAGAATACACTCGCCCCTCTCTCAGGTTCCAGCCTCCGTGGAAGACATGAGCGCTTGCATGTCTTGTCTGATGTTTCTTTAATTTATCCTTCAATTACACAATCACCCCCTAAGACCCATTCGGTGTGGAGGCTGGTCCCCCACAGTGGGGGTTGGGGAGTTTAGGATCAAATCATAAGAACTGAGACTGTCCTTTAAGAGTTAAATTGTGAAACCAACTCAAAACTCCCCAGATCTCAGCCCTGCGGTCACTCTAGAGAGAGCCCTCAACTGTCCTTCCCAGCACTTACCGCAGCTATGTCACAATTCTAGCTAGTCTGTTATGTATCACCAAAGGGGTAGGGCCCTTGTCTGTCCTGTCCCATCACTGCACTCAGAAATGACACATAGTAAGTGCTTTCTTTTGAATGATTTTTTTAATGTACACATACACACACACACACATACACACACTTGAAAGAATGGCTACCTAGCTCTGAGGATATGACATGTAAGTCCAACATACCCCACCGTCAAAACTATGCCACACAGAAAGTAAGTGATGGAGCACAGAAAGATGAGAACATGGAGGCAGACCAAAGGCCTGCAGTCTACCAGGTGGGTTCCCAATGACTATCAGCTATGCAGAGCGACAAATGAATTGGCACAACTCCTCCTGTGAGCCACAGGAAGGGGACTGGCACCCGGGGCTCTAACATTAAGTCACAGCACTAAGTGCCTTGATTTCACATTCCCCAAGCAACTGTTTAGTGATCAGACTTGGTTATGGCTGACAAGGAGGCCTGTCTTGGTCAGACCAAACCGACTGCCCTAGCCAATGTACATTTTAAAGTTGGCATCTAAAGTGTCTCTCGGGAGTTCAGAGTCGTTGATGCCTGCTCTCTTCTAAGTACAGAACAGACACAAGTTTCCTAGCTCTGCCTTTCACCACTGTTTCGCCCTCCATGGTGTTATTAATGTGACTCTCAGAGGAAGAAGCAGGTGAAGGCACCCAAACCTGTGCACAAATGTACTCTCTCCCTGGTCACCTGTAGTAGTTACATAATCAGGTGTCAACTTGAGACTAGTAAGGGTGAAGAAAGGGAGACGTCGGACAGGGTAAGATATGACAAAATACTAATTTATAAATTATCAAGGGTTCATGAGGGAGGGGGGAGCAGGGACGGAGGGGAAAAATGAGGAGCTGATGCCAGGGGCTTAAGTGGAGAGCAAATGTTTTGAGAATGATGAGGGCAATGAATGTACAAATGTGCTTTACACAACTGATGTATGTAAGGATTGTGATAAGAGTTGTATGAGCCCCCAATAAAATTATTTAAAAAAAGAAAGTTAAAAAAAAAAAAGTGAAGAGGTCGAGCTTAGCCTGCCAATCAGGAAGCAGCTTGATGACCTTATCTGGAGGCGCTACAGAGAAAAATAGCTCACTGGAGGCCAGACCCACACTCTGCTTCATCTTCCTGCTGACAAGGCACCTGGAGCTATGCTGATGGCAATCAGAGCCTTGGAGCTGGAAGAGCCACATGGAAACCCCTGGAAGGGCCATGATGTTTCCACAGCCACTGGATCCACAAGGCTTTCCACCCACTGACCTGTGATCTCCCTCCACTCAGCATCATTGCATGTGTTGCGTGAGTTGGAAGAGGAATTTACAGACTGCTATAGGACATATGGGCCATTATCGGACTTAAGGACTTGATCTGGACTGGGCTGGAATGTTTTCTTAATAGACAATTACTCTTATAGAAAGCTCTTTCTAATACACATATGAGCGTCTATTAATTTATTTTTCTAGTCCACCCAGACTAACGCATCACCTTAGCACCAACCTAACCCACCTACCTCCCCACTTCCTGAGGACAGCACAGTTCCCCCGGTGGTCTAAGAAGCTGCTCTCCTCATACTGCCCTTGGTAGGCAGCTGGGTTTAGAGCTTTGAAAGCACAGACCCCATTCACAAGCCCTGCCTCGACACTGTTAATAAAGGACAATCTTTTCTCTGGGAAACTTCAGAGGCTAGAAAGGAGTCAGAGAAGGTTCACATCCTCTGACTAGCGTTTCACTAACTATAGCACAGAGTGTTGGCTAGAAGCTCCCCACTGTCTGGCTCTATCTGGGCTCCTCAGACTCTACCATAAAGATCCCAGGGATTGGTTTCTCACTGCCACGTCAACTTAGCAACAAGCAGGACTGACAGAACTGCAATGTGGGCCACATATGTGATTTTAAATGTTCTTGTAACCACATTACAAAATCCAAAGAAATAAGTGAATACCATTTTTATGTATTTTATTTAAGCCTTTACCTAAAGCAGTGGTTCTCAACCTTCTGAATGCCGTGACCTTTTAATACAGTTCCTCATGTTGTGGTGATTACTTTCATTGCTACTTCATAACTGTAATTTTGCTACTGTTATGAATCAGGTGACCCCCTTGAAAGGGTTGTTCCACCCCCAAAGGGGTCGCAACCCACAGGTTAAGAACCGCTGAGCTAAAGGGTTATGAGTTGGGTTGTGATCCCAAAGGTCTGCAGTTCTAAACCACCAGCCGCACCTCAGGAGAAAGACGGGCTTTCTACTCCCATTAACAGTTATAGTCTCAGAAACTCAAAGGGGCAGTTCTACCCTGTCCTGTAGGGTCAGTAAGAATCAGTATTGATTCAATGACAGTGCATCTTAATACATAAAGCTACGAATGAAATCTTTTGCATTCTTTTTACCAGTCTTCAAAATCCAGTGTACATTATATGCAGAACATCTCAATTTGGCCTAGCCACGTCTGAAGTGTTCGATAGTTAGCCACCGTGGCTGGTGGCTGCCCTAACACACAGCACCTTTCTAAAACCTGATGCATGCTGCAAGAGGACCACTTTCAAAGCCGGCTCAAACCTCTCAAACTCACTCCGAGTCGATTCCGTCTCATAGCAACCCTGTAAGACAGAGAAGTTTCCTGTGTGTCTACAAGACTTTAAATCTTTGCGGCAGCAGACAGCCCTTGCCTTCTCCCCAAAGCCTGGTGTTTTCTAAAAATATTAATTTCACATTAACAAGTACTCAGAAGGAAAGTGAG